CCTTCATAGTTTCTGACTTTATTCTGCATTATGTTTATTGGGAGATTTTTTTCTTTAATTGTATTTATATCTGAAAAATCAATTTTTGACTTTAAAAAATTGTATATATCACGAATACAATCTACAAATTAGACTAATTTTTAGAAAAACCCCTCAACTAGAAAATATATGTTGAAAGGTTTACTTATTTTTCCCTATTTCTTACTCTTGAATTGAGTATTTTCATTTCTTAAGGTTGACTATTGGAAAAAGGAGGTTGTCCTCTTATTACACATAAATCTGTTAATTTGATTGGTTTCTATGAGCAATACATCTCAATCTTATCGATAATTACGTAACTGTAGAGAGAAATTCTGTAAAAATCTTGTTAGCTACCTTCAAGGTAGTTTCGGACTAATAATATAACAATGAGTGATACCAAACACATTACTTATAAAAACTTCGTCAAATTTTTACAAATTGACAGAGATCATGAGTGAATTGAAGCTGGACCACCATGGAAAACCTGGAATCACTGGACGGCCGTTTCGTCCTAGTGTGGGACTCCTCAGCAGTGCGCATCCACAAAACCCCTTCTGATAATGGTGACTGGCTTCAAGAGATATATCCTGGAGTTCTAGTGAGAAGCAGTGACCAGTGGAGTTCAACCAGGTCTGTCTTGAGATATCAACTCACTGAAGACAATGGTGTACGGTGGCGCGATTTCATGGATTGGTTGAAGTTAGACATTAACACCGTTGGATGCCGGCTCAGTGGTCTAATGATTAGGCGCTCACGCGCGAGACTGATATGTGCTGGGTTCGAATCTCGCGGGGGGCAGGATCGTGGATGCGCACTGCTGAGGGGTCCCACAATAGGACGAAACGGCCGTCCAGTGCTTCCAGGTTTTCCATGCTGGTCTAGCTTCAATTGATCCGTGATCTCAACTATTGAAGTTACTACAATCTCCACAAAACCCCTTCTGATATTGACAGAAAATTTATTATTTAAGAATTAGTGATTAATGTTCTTTATTTCAGGCATATGTACAGAATCGATGATACTTTCTAAGTTTATTTATCATTTTTCATATCTCTTTTCTCAATGTGAATTAAAGTGAATTTTAAAGGCAGTAATGTAATTCGTCAAATATAGGCTTATGTAACTGAATTTCTGATACAGTTTTTATCTGTGTAGATTAGAGATGCTACTTATGTGCTAGAATCAAAACAAATAAGGCTGAATTCAAACTGTTAGGATTGAGTGGATTTACTAATAATAAAAAAGTTTTTAACATCCTATAATATGGATGTTAGTAGCTCTTTAGAGCTCAACTGGTGTAATTTGAAATAAACGTGAAACTCGTAGTGATATTATTAGTAACAATTAACATATTATTATGATCACAGTTATTATCCACGAGCAGAAGATAGAAGATTCATCATATTAGAGTTTGTATTCAATTAGTCTTGACTACTTGATATAATATATCAGTAGTTTAGAATAAATACACAGACCAGTAAAGTTAGTGGCCTAAATTTTCAAGATTTTTACTGTCTAATACCTATGGGTTTTGACTTTGAAAAATTACGACACTGAGAGGTTCTGTTTGCTTATTAGTTATCACTTTTTAAATTAATTTTTTTCGGAGATCATTTGTATAAAGGAATATAAAAGTACTGAAACTGAGTACCACAGTGGGATTTAGTTCTCGTATGAGACTTCTTAAACGTAAAGATATATAATCTTTCAAGACATTGGGGTGAGGACTTTAGGTTTCATGACTTGCTGTGACTTGCAGAGTCCATATATTAGAAAGAAAGGTAGCTATCCACCGATGGAATAGGATAATCATTGGCCAATGAGACGAACTAACAAAAGTTCAAAACTGTAGATTAGTACAAATCCAACTGCAAGGGTTTAGATTTTTCAGTTGTTGATGTTAGAGACTGAGATTAATCCGTCACTTTTAAAAATTATGCATTCTGAACAGATTATCTTGATATTATCATCAGTGTGGACGCAATAACTGAGTGAGATGGAGGTATATATATATAGTAGACTAGACGTACACTTTAAATTCCACTGTTAGCCAAAATCCGACTCTGCTTAAAAAGATGGGTTACAATTTAATGGAAAAAATGCGTCCCGCTCGCTACAAGACTACGAGCCTGATTTTGTATGATATTAATAATATTGTCCCTTGGGGAATATTGTAAAATAAAATGTTTATTATTTCGTCAGAGCAGTTAAAAACTGTGGTCAGCTTACATTAACATTCAATTTTAAATTAAGTAAAACTTCTACGAACAAGATAAATAAATACAGTCTTTTTATTCATTCTAAAATATGGATACTGACTAGCAGCGGAGTGAACATCAACTCTGCGGTACAGATATATCTAACTGACGAGTCCCAAATAGAACGAAACAAGCGTCTTCGATTCCACTGCTAGCCACTATCCATCTTTGCATAAAAAGCTTGCGACTTAAGGTTATATCGAGGCAATCCGCACAAGATACACATATTCCAACATGAGACAGATCAATTGCAATCCTAAATAACAATAGGAAGATAAAAGTAAAACAATTCCAAGTGAATTTGAACTTTATAAGTTTGTTTTTATCCGATGAAATGGATGAATAAACCCAATGTTAGAGTCTACTCGATTAAATTGTGGGATAGGATTTTTTTATTTATCCATTTTTTTGAACTTTCAGTCTTTTTTTTCAGTCATAGAATCATTTATTTTCTTATTTCAGTAGTTAAGTATCTGACATGAATTTAATTTTAGAAAAATTATTTTATAAGAAATTATATTAAGAGATATTGTAGTGAACACGAACACAAATGGGGACAATCAAATGTATTTGACATGAAATTACGGAGCATCTCACTACAATCTGAGAACCATATAGTAAACAGTTAATTTGCAAAATATCAATCCATCGTCTCAAACTTGACTGTTCCTTTTGCTCATATCAGTCTATTGTCTTAGATTTCATTGTTCATGCATTTTCATACCGATTGCGTTCCGTTCCCGTTCTTTCCTTATCGATCTTCTACTGAAATACATTCTATGCCTGACCAAAATTATATATTACTTATATGGATATAAGTAACCCACACCACAATATGTGTACAATAAATGAAATATTAAAATTTTTTTGTAATTTTAAAAAGGAAGGGAAATTAGTTGAAGTATTACACAAGAATGGATTCTTTTATTGATTTTTTATTTACTTATGAATATTTAACAATCTCAAGGATATAAAACTTTGATGGAAGTTTACTATTTTCTCTTATATAAAGAAAATAAACTTATTGTTTTAATTTATACTTGCTCTAATTGTTATGGTACCACATATTGATCATAGTTAACTATTAAAAATAAAGACTGTACAGATGTTTTTTTTCTTCCGAACATGAGACTGTTCAACCATGAGCAATCACAACCTTACAGGGGAATAGAAACTGGGACATTTTAGGCTTAATGTTAAGATAGTGTAATAAGAAGACGATTATTAGAGCTATGTGACATTTTATTTTTATATATAAATGTTCTTAACAAGTATATATGTGATCAGATTGCTCGAAATGTATTGCGCTAATATATCACATAGTTCTGATAATCTTGGTTTTCTCATTGCACTATTTAAATTTATCAAAGGAACTAGTTGTTTTTATGGTAAAAGCTTAACCTTCAGATCATTCAGTCATCATCTAATTGTTTATATGTCTAAATTCGATCAACTCATGATAAAAGACAACCATCTTTCAATGTTAATGGTGCGTGGTTATCTCATTCCCGATATAGTTAAACTGGACTAATCACAGATTCTCATTAGAACTCTTACTAGTATAGCTAGTGACTAGGCTAGCTTCACGAAGCATAGAGATTTCATATGGTAATTTTAAATGCCGGTCGATAATAAAACTTTGTCTATTATTTGTAACATAACTTACACTATAGAGATTATTCATTGTTTTATTGTTTGTTTTAATCTTCCCAGTGATGTTTAGGACTGTAATAGATCAGTCTCTTATTGATGTCTGTGCATCCAGTACGGGCTGCTTCGATGTTGCTTTAAGTCAAAAGTATTATAAGCGACTATCTGGACTAGTTAGCTAAGTGGAGAGCGTGATGGAGTTTGAAGTGAACGGTACTGGGTCCGAGTCTCAGAGTGAACACCAACTGTGGGTTGTAGGTACATCCAACTGGCGAGTCCCAAATAGGATGAAACGTCCATTCTGGATTTTATTGCCAGCCACCATTCATCTTTGCATATAACTATAGAGATTGGTTTAAATGACTTAAGATGATCTTGAAAATCTATTAGATCACTTTTGTTTAGTCAGAAACAGGTGATGAAAGTTATTACTTGTTGTTAGAAAACAAATAAAACTGGATAGTATGTACAGTTTCGATACACTTATTACATTCCTCTCTCTCAAGGTGTTATGTATAGAAATTGATCCTTATGGTTGTGAATTATTTGTGAACCGTTATATTATACATGTATACACGTTTTCAGTGTGAACTTTTCAATAAGATTTTCAAAATGATGTCTACAAATAACTACTTTGTGATAATATATAAATCTGTGAGGTTATTTGTACACTTTTCAGTTGTTCTCATACAAAGGTTTTCCCAGTTAAACATGCTTCTTGGACAATTTCTAGTTAAGAACTTTCATAAGCTGACCTTTCTGAACCATTTTATCTTATATTTCAAAGACCCGCTTCAATTAGAATAGCAAACTACCCAATTATTTTACTTTTACGTTCCATTCTCTTCCGTTGGTTATTCATTATTTGGCCGTTAGTTCGTAGTTTATTACAATGTCATCTTTAAAACTATTCACAACTGGATCGATAATACACATCTACTTTGTTATAGAGATCATGACCATTAAATCGCTATCTTAAGCTTGATATATGGGTTTATCAGAAAGACTTAGTTTATCTTATTTTTGTAAATTGTTTATTACTTCATGATTTATTTTTATTTTACTTTCTAGGAAATTCAGTTGAATCATTCATCACAGAAAATCATTCCTACAATTTATTTCTTCATTTTGATCAATTATCCCTATTACAACGGTATAGAAGTTTAATTTAAATACTAATGAATTTGTATAAATTTTCAATTTATTCATTATTGACAAATTTGCATTCAATCACTTTAATTGTCATATTTTGTACATTTTTACTACCAACTAATGAGATTGGTTTTCGTGGTCCAGTTGATAGCAATATATTTGCTGAAATTGAAGGTGATGCACCAAATTCATCAATATGTCGACGTATGTTTAGTAATTTTACAGAACCAGAAATTCGTTGTTTAATTGCTAAACATTTTCCTGGATGTCAATTTGATTCAGGATTTTTTCAATATTTAGTATTTCAATATTGTAATTTTGATGAACGTATAGCTCCAACAGTATTTATGGTAAGTTTTAGTGAAAAACAAATAAAAAAATATTTTTCTTACTAAATATGCTTTGATTTTCATAGTTATTGTTATATTTGGTCGTCGCTGATTGTTGTGCTGGAAAAACGCTGATCACTTATACTCGGAACGAGAGACCTCTGCAATTCCCACGATGCGAAAGTAAGGACACAAAGACTGGTATAAGTGAAGATTTATTAGCCCCAGAACACTATGACAACGACGACGAATAAAAATAGTCTAAAATACACTGGTTTATATACTGATTGTACACCCATTTTGATTAATAATTAGGATTAAATCACATACTCAGTTATAACAAATTACTTACTGAGCATAGTTCATGTCAAGTGAATACAAGAATATCGTATCTTATACAGAATAAAATATCATATTGGGAAAACAACTAAATACTCCACTGAATGATCCTCACATTGAATCAAAACCTATGAAATTTCTAAAAAAAACTCTCCACAAAACCCATTCTCAAAACGGATGTAATGTTGAATAAAACTCATAATGAGTAATTCAATCGAAGATTGACTTTTCTTTACATCATATCAGTTGTAAAGAGTTAGAATGCATATGTCAAACTTAGATGAGTAAGAATGAATCAATCTCTGAGGTAGTTCTTTCAATTGAATTGAAAATGACTTAGTCACTCTGATGTTAGTGTTTGAACATGAAACGAAATATTTACATCCAAGTTATTCTATTCAAAATATATTTGTAACAAATGTCAGTCTGTTCTAATCTTGAAATAACTAATCTTTTGGAGAGTTAACTTAAACCAGATGATTATTTTTGTTAACCAATAAAGAAGACTTTTTGATTTCATATATTGTAAAACATTTCATGTTTATCTGATTATTTCGCGTTTAAACCTACATAATTTGTTTAACGAGTGTGCTAATTGAAGTATTGAATGCTATGATGAAGATAGGAAATCTCTCTCTTTGGCAATTGATGAAATGTTGAGGAATTTTTTATGTAGATAACTTATTAAAGAAAATAATTTATCTGAAGAGTAGAGGAACATCAAGAGTCTCAGTGATGATTATGAAGGCTACAAGAATGATGCAAACCCAATATGATCGTTTACTTTATACGCTAATAATGAAACCAAGCATGCATAGTACCATATTGTTTTCGATAGCTAATTCATTATTCTGATAGCAATTGATGAACTAAATTTAAGAAAATCGTTTGTAAGATTCTAACAAAATATAAAATAATTAGATATTGGAAATCTGACTTTTGTAAATTTCTAGGTATATTTGCAACAATGTAAAGAAAGGTGAAATAACTATACTGTCACAAATCGGGAGTATTGCGCAAATGATAAGATTAATGTACTCCTAACCTTGTAGAATAAAGTTGTTGTGATCTCAGTTTAGGCATTGCAATGAAGAGACTATTTACTTGTAAAGTTTGATTAATGAATTAACCGTTGAATACACAAGTGTCTTTGATTAGTTTATCAATAAATGTTTATCACTTTTAATATTACCACAGTTCTAAGTCACTTTCTATTTGAGTAGTTTTTCTAATCACTTGCTTAAGGTAAAAGTATTCTTTTGAGGTGGGGAGAGGTTTTTGATATATAACTATTATTTGAAGGTATACTTTAAATGTTACCTAATTGAATTCGGATAAAAGTGTTTTCGTCCTAATTTAGTTTATATTGCTATTGAAAGTATCTTAAACGAAAATAATGAAAGTTATGTTTTGTTTAACTCAATATATTTATTAACAACCGAGTTATTTTGTAATAGTCAAGCAAGAATGACCGAGGTGATTGGATTGAAAGATTTCTTCACAGGACTTATCTTGCAAATCCTAATCTAAGTTAATGTAAATAAACGGAATCACTGGACAACCGACAGAATATGTTATTGGGACAAATAAAACTGTCATGTATCAACATGTACATATTCAATCAGAATAGCATAATTAAGAGTTAGTAAATAAATAATATCTGAATATTCAAGGAGGTGAGAAGTTACAGAATATCCAGTAACTCTCATAACTCTCTGTTGTATGCCAATGAAAGATGTACACCTGAGCGTCTTGAAAAAGTATAAGCGATTCGAGAACAGGATAAGAAAAAAGTGGAGTTTTAAATATTTTAAAGTCCAAAATATGGAGAAAGACCAAATGATACAAATAAATGAAGTTACTGACAGTAGTGAGGGGGTGATCTATGATGTTATATTGCGAATGAATGTCTTATTAGATAGTTGTGTTCATTTGTATCTAATCCCCTTTAGGCTAGATGGTTTATTGGGAATCGTTAAATATGGTGAGGTATCAAAGTTAACTGAGGTCACCTGAAAAGCTAATGAAAGCCAAAAAGCATTGGACATATTTGTCGTCAGTTTTGAGCGCCCACAAGTTTGCGGGAGAGTGAGTTAAGGAATTTAAATTTTACTTTCAACACGTTACTTTAAAATCAATGAGTTGAAATCAAGTGGTTGAAAAAGCATTATCCATAGTTTTCAGTTATAGATATCTCACTATAGATATGGTAAAACACTAACATTTAACAGTTCTTATTAGAACTTTATGAATTTAGCCCAAATGAAATCTCTGGTGAGAATGCGATCACTGTTTTGGTAAGAGATTAATTAGGAACTGATTAGTTTTAAACTACAAATGCAAACGAATGGATACTGACTCACTGGTTTAAAATGTCAAGGGATCTCCATGAAACTTAAGAGTCCTCGGTACGATCTCCACTATGTTCATGAATGAATACTGTTGAAATATCCTATGGTAGGATGTAACAGATGTACAGTGTTTTCAGCTTTTCAATGATTGTTTAACAGAAATTAGTCCATGTTATAAATCGTACAGTTTAAAGTTTGGTTTTGTTATGAAGCAACTTAACGAGAAGGGTCATTGAAAAATACAATACACAGGATAACTTTTTATTTTTATTTAAAACTTCAGATTACCTAAAAGCAATTTAGAAAGGAAATAATTTCTTCACTTGGTATTGTTTGGCTTGTATCTTCCCATTGAGGTTTAAGACTGCAATTGATCAGACTGTTATTGGCATATGTGCATACTGTGCGTATGCTTCGATATTACCTTAGTTCACGAGCTATTTGTAAGCAATGATGGATAGTGGCTAGCAGTGGAATCCAGGACGCGCGTTTCGTCCTATTTGGGACTCATCAGCTGAATGTACCTGCATCTCAAAGTTGATGTTCACTCTGGGACTCGAACCCAGTACCATTCGCTTCAAATGCCATCACGTTATCCACTCAGCTATTGAGTGATGATAATATTCAATGGTTGAATTAAAACGTGTATGTTTAATCTGATTTGATATAAGTAAACTGTATCTAACCAAGTCTTCAATTATCACGATATTATGAAATAAACTAGAAAAAAATGATAATAGTAGGTAAATTTTATCATTGTACATTTAATTTTATTTCAGTAGCTTTTGTAAATTAATTTCTACATTCCATTGTTAGTCGTTACTATCAAAAGTCATTATAATAAGCACTCATTATGATAGTTAATTTACAGTAATGAAGTTATCTTAACTAGAATAAGTTGAAACAAGGAAAAAGCTACTATATTAATTCATCTTTGACAATTGTTAACAATTGTACAGTTGACCGTTACCTATTTATTTATAAATGCCTCGGTAAATTAAAATAAATGCAATGATAATAAATATTTATGGTGAATAGTTGTTTATTATCAGGAATTGATTATATTTGTACAAAAGATAATTTCAGTTAACAAACAGTATATTTTCATAATTTCCATCAAGGTCTGATCTTTGTTAGCCGTTTGTTAAAAACCAGAAAGCATTAGATAGCTGTTTCTTCCTAGTACGTTACGCCTCGACAGCGTAGATCCACAAATCAATTTGGGATAAAACCTCGGATACTAGGTCCCACACTTGAATACTTAGCCTCTAGCCAACTCAGAGAGATCCAGTGGTGTATATGTTTAACTTCAATCGGTTACGATATTGTGCGACTATTTTTGATTACCTGAGCTGAATAACTGTCACATACTTGACATGGTTGAATTTCATTAGCCACGACTTCTCACTAAACCTCCAGGAATTGAACTTAGAAGTTAGTCATTAGGGAACACAGTATATTAATCGAAAATAAAATTAACTGGAATTTCTTCCTTATCTAAAATTTAAAAATCGATCATTAGTCATAGACTAATGATCGATTCTGGAACAGAACAGGTGTCTGATGTCCTTTAATTCTCATTTTTTAAATATCGTTCTGGAAATACCACCAATCTATGGTGACAAAATTATTGATTTAGGTTAACTTCCTCTCTCTGTGTGTAGGGAAATGGCCAAGAATCTTCGAGTAGTTCAGTTCCTGGATTCCCTTTCTAGCTGCTACAGAGCGGCATTACTGGTTTGATAGTGTTAAGTTCTCTGAGCTGCATAGTTTTATTGTCATTCTAGAAAACATCATCAGCACGTACTTCATGTAGAAGTAAACATTTTAGTTATTCAGTAACTCTTACATCAATCCGTTCTTGTAGCCCTGATGATGACTTATTATCCTCGTAAATTTCATTGTCCTCAACCGTTCTTTTATTCAAGTCGACTGTTTTGCAACGTTTACCTTCTCTCTGGTTGTTAATCAGCCTTCATCGAACAGGTTGATAAATCGGGTCTAATTCGACTTGTTTATTGATTACTAGTCAGGGTTCATAGTTTTAATGTCTAACTCCAACTCTCGGTGCCATATGTTATTTAGTTTGATGCTTGTCTTCTTACTTTGAGGATACAATGATAGAGTTTATCTTGTAATGCAGTTTGATGATTTTTTTATAGCGAGTTCTATCCACCTTCAGAGTCACTTCCCAACTCCCGTCTCTGCTAGTAGCTTGTTTGTTCCTTGTCACAGTAGATTATTACCGATGGTCTTTGGTTAAAGGAGCTAGAATGTCTTGTGTAGATAGCAGTTTATGAATAAATGTACACTTTTGGTGATGGTTGTAGT